GAAGAAAAAAGAAAACAGAAAACAACCTAGGAACCTGCTACAGAGGGCCTCTGAAAGCCAGAAGAAGAAAACAGAAAAAAACCTCGGAACCTGCCACAGAGGAACTCTGAAAGCCTCTGCCATGCAGACTGTCAAAGCAGATGCTGAGCCTGATGGCCAACTGATGGGCAGAGTCAATGGAATTTTATGTAAGAAGTGGGAAATAGTAAGAGCTGGAGAGGACAGGAACTCCACAAGGAGAGCAACAGAACAAGAAAATTTGAACACAGGGAATTTCCCAGAGACTCATACTCCAACCAAGGACTGTCCCTGGAGCTAACCTAGAACCCTGACAACGCAGCCACTTCTGATGAGAACTGATAGACTAAGATCAGAAAGAAGGAGGGGAGGACCTCCCCTATCAGTGGACTTGGGGAGGGGCATGCATGCAGAAAGGGGTGGAGGGTGGGACAGGGAGGGGAGGAGGGAGGGGCTTACTGGGGGATACAAAATGAATAAAGTGTAATTAATAAAAGTTAACAAAAAACCCAGAATCTCCAAAACAATCCTGTACAACAACAGATCATCTGGAGGTATCTCCATCCCCGATCTCAAGCTGTACTACAGGGAAACAGTAATAAAAACTGCATGGTATTGGCATAGAAACAGAAAGGAGGATCAATGGAACTGGATAGAAGACCCAGAAATAAACCCACACACCTATGAATACTCGGTATTTGACAAAGAAGCCAAATCCATTCAATGGAAAAAAGACAGTATATTCAACAAATGGTGCTGGTCCAACTGGATGTCTACACGCAGAAAAATGAAAATAGATCCATATTTATCATCCTGCACAAAACTAAAGTCAAAGTGGATCAAGGACCTCAACATAAAACCAGATACTCTAAATCTGTTAGAAAAAAAAGTGGGGAACAGCCTAGAACTCATTGGCACAGAAGACAACTTCCTGAACAGAACACCAACAGCACAGGCTCTAAGAGCAACAATCAATAAATGGGACCTCATGAAACTGAAAAGCTTCTGTAATGCAAAAGACACAGTCATTAAAACAAAACGACTGCCTACAGATTGGGAAACAATCTTCACCAACCCTTTTTCTGACAGAAGGCTAATATCCAATATATATAAAGAACTAAAGAAGCAGAAAAGCAACAAACCAAGTAATCCCATTAAAAAATGGGGAATGGAGCTAAACAGAGAACTCTCGAAAGAGGAACATCAAATGGCAGAGAAACACTTAAAGAAATGCTCAACCTCATTAGCCATTAGGGAAATGCAAATCAAAACGACCCTGAGATTTCACCTTACACCCATCAGAATGGCCAAGATGAAAAACTCAAGTGACAACACATGCTGGAGAGGTTGTGGAGAAAAAGGAACCCTCCTCCATTGCTGGTGGGAATGTAAACTGGTACTACCACTTTGGAAGTCAATCTGGCGCTTTCTCAGACAATTAGAAGTAGTGCTACCTCAAGACCCAGCTATACCACTCCTAGGTATATACCCAAAATTTGCTCAAGTACACAACAAGGACATTTGTTCAACCATGTTTGTAACAGCTTTATTTGTAATAGCCAGAACTTGGAAACAACCCAGATGTCCATCAACGGAGGAATGGATACAGAAATTGTGGTATTTTTACACAATGGAATACTACTCAGCAATCAAAAAGGTGGAAATCATGAAATTTGCCGGCAAGTGGTGGGATCTAGAAAAGATCATTCTGAGTGAAGTATCCCAGAAGGAGAAAGACAAACTTGGTATATACTCGCTTATATAGACCTACAAGATATGATAAACATAATGAAACCTACACACCTAAAGAAGATAATCAAGTAAGTGGACATGGGTGAAGATGATCAATCCTCATATAGAAAGACAAATGGGATGTGCATTGAATGTATGACAGGAGTCTACTGCAAAAGGCGTTAGAAAGACTCTACCTAGCAGTGTTTCAAAGCAGACACTAAGACTCATAACCAAACCATGGCAGAGTGCAGGGAATCATATGAAAGAAGGGGAGTTAGTATGATATGGCAAGGATAGGAGCTCTACAAGTACCAAATATATCCGGGCACAGGGCCTTTTTTGAGACTGACACTCAACCAAGGACCATCTATGGATATAACCTAGAACTTTTGCTCTGATGTGGCCCGTGGTAGCTCAGTAACCAAGTACTTTTCCAAAGCAAGGGGAACAAGGACTATTTCTAACAGGATCTCAAGGGCAGGCTCTTTGACCTCCCCACCATCCCAGGGGAGGAGCAGTCCTGTTAGGCCACAGAGGAGGACTTTGCAGCCAGCCTTGAAGATACCTAATAAAACAGGGTCAAATGAAAGGGGAGGAGGTCCTCCCCTATCAGTGGACTTGGAAAGGGGCAGGGAGGAGACCAGGGAGGGAGTTGGGGAGGGGGAGGGAATGAGGGAGCGGGATACAGCTGGGACACAGAGTTAACAAATTGTAACTAAAAAGAAAAATAAAAAAATAAAAAAAGTTATAAAAAGGTTTAAATAGAAAATGAATCAATAATTATTAATTTTCATAATTTTAATCTTTTAATACATTGTGTTACAATGCTTTAAACTTCTACTTGGTGTTCTCAAAATATTTCCCAGCTAGCCCTCAAAATTTAAATTATTATCTATTATATAATAAATATATATAAGACAGTGAGAAAAAAAGATGTACTAGATTGTAAGTACAGGCTTGATGGTAACTATATAACTATATGAACATTTAATAGGCCTATATTTTAACAAATCTATACCATAAAAGTTGAAGGACCATTCTTTTTATTTAGTTTTTATTTATCACAATTTATTCACTCTGTATCCCAGCTGTAGCTTGCTCCTTCATCCGCTCCCAATCCCACCCTCCCTCCCTCTTCTCCTCTTATGCCCCTACTCCAGCCCACTGATGAGGAAGGTCCTCCTCCCCTTCTATCTGAGTGTATCAAGTCTCATCAGGACTGACTGCATTGTCTTCCTCTGTGGCCTGGTAAGGGTGCTTCCCCCCTCAGGGAGAGATGGTCAAAAAGCTAGCCACTGAGTTCATGTCAGAGACAGCCCCTGTTCCCCTTACTAAGGTACCCACTTGGAGACTGAACTGCGATGGGCTACTTATGTGCAGGGGTTCTAGGTTATCTCTATGCATGGTCTTTGGTTGGAGTATCAGTTTCAGAAAAGACCCCTGTGCCCAGATTTTTTGGTTCTGATAGTCTCCTTGTGGAGCTGCTGTCCCCTCTAGGTCTTTTATCTACCCCTTCTTTCATAAGAAGAATTTCTTGTACTCCTCCCAAAGTTTGGCTATGAGCCTTTGAAAGATTCTACCCAGCACGGTATGGAAGCAGATGTTGAAGGAACATTCTGTAAGTCTTCCAGAGGGAGGGTGGTATTGGGAGGAGATGAGGGAGAAAGCCACAGCTGAGATACAAAGTGAATAAATTGTAATAAATAGCAATAGTTAATAAAAAAAATGCAAAAAATCCTCTACAAAATTTGATTTTGACAGATTAAATTTCTTGTCTTAGAAAAGGTTCAATAAAATCTATTTTCTCAAATCAGTGAATTTATGTCATCACTTGTACTGAATTATGAACCTCCCAGGCATTCCCAGGGTTGTTTAGTGGATTCACTTTTTCTTGCTTTATTCCAGTTATTTTTTTTTTCTTGTACTCTGGTTCTTAATCTATCTTAAGAGTCTAAGCCATATGTCCTTGAACACATCTTAACTTTTGCAAGTGAACCAGCTTTTACACTCTTATATCTTATAGTGAAAGTATCCATGACCAACTCAAGAAGTCCTGACAAATTGAATATAAGAGCCTCCATTAATTAAATACATGAATAGCATTTAAATAAGTATTTTTGATTAATATATCTATCATATCCTTGATTTCTGTGTAAATTATTACTATATTAGCCAACAGAGTCTTCTCTACCTATGTGACCATCTATAAGTTTAGTAATCATTCCGGCTTCCAGAAGTAGATTCAACAAATATGTACTGAGGTGAAAGGACTTCCTTCACAGTGTGAGGAAACAATCCGAGAAAAGCTTTCTAAGCATCAAGCATGTTTCTTTGACAATGTCAGGGACTTGGGTGAAATATATAAGAGGTGCATGCAGTCCAAACATTTTTTTTTAATTTTGATTAGTTGTTTATTTTTTTTATCTTGTTCCATCAAGGCATCAGATTTCCATTATTCCATTAAGACATTCTAATTAAGACCTTTCATTAATACTCCTACTCAAATTTATTTGATTGGTCTCTGGCTAACCTTTACTTTTTGTAATACATTTATAAATCTTTACTAATAAAATGTCCTATTGGTGATGTATTAATATCAGACCGTTCAAACTCTGCCTGTAGGGGTCGTACCTATGTGAGGTATCCACATGAGTGTTTGGGTTCTACCTATTGCCTTGAGACAAGGTCTTTCCCTGTATCAAAAACTTAACTGATGGGTTGGCTGTCCTGCAATCTTGGATCCACCTGTCTCTTGTTCCTCTTCAGTGCTGGGGCTACAGATTCACACAGCTTTCTCAGATATCAATGTAGGTTCTAGGGATTCAAACTCAGATCCTCATGCTTGTACTGCAAGTGCTCTTACCCATCAGCCCCCCTTCCCATCCCCTGGAAACTGATTGGAAAAGGAAGATTATTCTATTTAATGTTGTCAAGGACACAGCAATTGACTACAAAATTTCCTGGTTGTTTAATAATTATCAACAATTCTGTTTGGTGTTTTTATCCATTAATTTAAAGGAAATGAAATATACCTCTCTTTGAAATTTGACTTCTGCCAGCTTGTTTCAGTTTACAACCACACTTATTCTAAAGTCCTCTTTGTCTTTATTTACAATTGCTGAGTTTGAAATATGGATGTTATTTGTTAGAATAGTGACAGACAAGAGAACAGTTGGGGAAATCGAGGCCTGATTATCTTAAGAAGCTCAGGGACACATACAAATATCCCTGTGTTTGTTGTACAGTACCTGGACATCGATACAGCTTTCGTGCTTGTGCAATGTCTCCTTTGCTTAACCGGGTCCGTTGGCCAATTGCAGGACGGATGCCATTATCATCACGGGAAGGTAGTATTGTGTCCAGAAACATCCCTCTGGAAAAGCAGAAGCAAAACACACCTAAGTCACCAAATTACACATCATATATCCATTAAAAAAAAAAAACATAAGGGTCATTTTTCTCAAATTCAATTGGCAGTTTTAATAGTTAAAGCAGAATATGAGGCTCTCAAAACACGCTAGGAAAAACTTTAAAATGTGTGGAACTTCCCAAAAGTCAGTGGTACATTTTATTCTTAAATATGTGTTATGATTTTAAAAATAAGGATTGTTTTATTGCCATACTGATCTGAGGTTCCTTAGATCATCCGATTGTGAAATAATTCTTACAAAGGAAAGAATATGAAAAAAAGACAAGGCAATTTTGAGGTAACTAAAAAAATAGAAGAGCCAAAGTTAAAGTAAAATTTTAGTTAACCTACTAATTGAAGCTGGCTTTCCTTGGATTCAAAGTATTACTGCAGTTTGTGTTGAAAGAATAAGAATAAACAGAGTAACCAATTATACATGACAGTGTAGTCAAATGTATATATTATTCAATTTATCAGGACAAAATCAATGAGCAATTTAAGAAAACTTTCTGATGGTTTATTAAATATTAGCTGCAGACACTGATCTCTTTTCTACTCAAGGTTGTGGTGAGAAGTTGCTGTTTCCTTAATATACATAATTTAAAATTCTGACTGCAGTGCACTAAAGACGTTTTCTAACTTTGCAATGTATATCAAACATTTATAACAGTGAGGGAATTATGATGATTGGACTAGAAAGGTCTTTGAAAGGGTAGAAGTTAGGAGTATATAAATTGATTTTTAGCAGGAAAAACAGAAATATTCAGATACTTTGCACTTTATATAATTTTTTAAATTAATAAAAATATAAAAATATGTTTAAAAGTAGAGATGAACAAAGAAATACTCCATTCCAAAATATAAAAATGAAAAGTATTGTACTGGAATTGAAGGTAATATCACAGCATTTTCAGCTACACTATTCCTTCCAATAGAAAACATTTATTAAGCACAGTTTTAGGCCTGAATCAAAAACAGAAACTTAAACAAACTAGAATTCTGTCCTTTGTCAAGTGACTCTAATGTGAGAGGGATATCGATCAAAATCACAATGTGGTGCCATTGTACCCTTACTCTGACTCTTGCTATCAAGCTAACACAAACCAATGATGTACTTGTGAGGGCCTGAGAGGGTGCAATCCTTGTGGCCACGTACTGGGACTGCAAAATGGCACAGTCACTGTGAAACACACTGTGGAAATTCTTCAATAAACCAAGAGTCAAACTAGCATGTGACTTTGCATTTCAGCTTCTTGGACTGGCAGAGAAAAGAACAGAAAGCACCATCTCTGAGATATTTCTATTCGCCCTGCTCATGACAGTGCTTTTTCAGTTGCCAAAAAGCAGAAGCAACACCAATGCCCTAGTAGACCAAGTTCCCTCTGATAAATATGTGCATGTGTGTGGTCATGTACTCACACTGCACACAGACATGCATGCACACTCTCATAGACACAAGCACACCTGCACCTGATATTACTCATAAGTATCATGCTGTGATAAGTCTTAAAAACTAATACTACATGTAACATAACAGCCACAAAGGAAAAAAGATACAAGTGATTTCAGTTACAGTATCCAAAATAGAATTTGGGAATACAATCGTACTGATGGTGCTGAGAGATTAAAAAAAAAAAAAAAAAAAAGGAGAAAGCAGAGTTGTCTAATAGATTCATCATTTCCACTTTGAAATGTAAAAGTGTTCTGGAGATACATCATATAAAAATGAATATATTTAACACTATTCAAATGAACACCTTAAAATGGTTGAAATGATATTTTTTATTAATATATTTCTGAGAGATGGATGAACTCAATATTTGAATCCCAACTTCTTTACCTCATTGCTATTTGCTAGGTAGAATCATCTTTAGAATAATATAGATCAAGACCCAGACTTATTACAACTCAAAATAAGACATTTAGTTATTAGTGACACAATTTTGAGTTGATAGTTATTAACTACAGTTGGAAACTACTTATAAAATGTTAGGAAGTAAAATACCCTCCTAACATAGTCTTTGAGAAGTCATCTACTAAAATCAATTCTGTAGCAGAGGAAGTGCAAAAAGAGGAAGCAAACAGCCTAAAGCAGGATTCAAACATACTATACGGCATTTTCATGCAACAAGAGAATCACACATTTGACTTGTGAATTCCTGATTTTTATTAAATAATGCTTGCCAATTTAACATGCTGTTGTTTTAAGTAGTTTTCACTAAATATTTAAAAAATTGAGGATACAAAATTGCTTAAATAATCTCTATTGCATTGTCGGCATCAATTTCAGTTAGTGTGTTTAGTAAGAACAGAAAAAGTGTATTTTAAATGTCTTTTAAATAAATGTCTGCTGTTGGTATGAGTATTAACTACAATTTCTAGGATTTGCCCCAGGGTAGCGATATTTGAAAGTAGTTCTAGTTCTAAAGATAAACACAGCTTAGTGAGAGTCGCATGGGAAAGGGAATTAAAAGTCAAAAGGTATAACCTGAGACTCCAACCTTGAGAAGGTGTTCCTGGCGTAGTGCATAATGCTGTCAAAGTCATATCTCTCTCCAAGGGAGTTCACCTCTCCAGGCTCCATCTTCAGGAAGTTATACTCTTGACCTAGCCGACCAGGAAAACAACATTACAGAAGACTTGTAAATGAAAGAAAAGAGAACAGAAATCCAGTACCTATACGTGGGTTTCACTAAGTGACCTGGTATTGTTGCTGATGTCTATAGACACATCCATTCATATGCAAAGTAATAAAGGCAAACCTCATGTTCTCACTGTAATTCCTGATCTCACAGGGAAAGCTGGAATGGAACCATGAGCTAATTACTACAAAAGAAGGTAAAGAGAAGCATATAGTTCTTTCAAATACTCTTTGTCTATCTCATAATATTCTTACCTGTAAAATTATATTACTGTTGGGGTGCTAAACAAATAATTATAATGATTATTTACAGCCATAGTATAACACAAATGCAAGTAATCAGGTCTCCACACAAAATTTATTTTTTTATCATGGTCATCTACATTACATGTAAATTTCAAGCCACATTTGTGTATTTTAGACATTGCTCTTGAAAACCCACCTAGTTTCAAAATTTTCATTCACAGTAAGTCATAAATGCACAAACAATTAATCTGCAATGTGGATTTTTCAGCCGAAATCTTCCTGCTGTGGTAGTTTCAGTCAATCAGGAAACATAATCAGTTAGTGTTCTTTTTCCTATCAGCCTGAATATTTAGCCAAAAAAAGAATTCAGAGTCATAATTTTTCTAGCACTATCTATATTTACTTACATACTGAGTTTTACTACATTCACACTTCTTCCTTGTTTTGGCATATGATTATCTTGAATCAGAAATATACTCAAGAGAAGGAAACATTTTAAAACACTGTAACTTTTATAAATTTGTTTTGTTTTCTTGGTCCACATGATAAAAATGATGGGCAGACAGAAAACAAGCAAACATCTCATCTATTTTATGCTTCAAAGGAATTTCAGTAATTACCTCCTTTTTAATTCACTTTTTAAATTAAATTTTTATTTTTTTACATTAATTACATTTTATTCTCTTTGTATCCCAGCTGTTTCCCGCTCCCTCATTCCCTCCCAATCCCACCCCGCTCACTCATCTCCTCTCATGACAGTTCCCCAGTCCACTGACAGGCGAGGTCCTCCTCCTCCTCTTCCTGTGACCCTAGCTTATCAAGTCTCATCAGGACTGGCTGCCATGTCCTCCTCTGTGGCCTGGCAAGGCTGTTTCCCTTACTTCACTCTTAATGATATAAATGTAAGATGAACACTGACAAACTGGTTCTGGTTCCTAGATATTCCACATGGTCATGTACATTTTCTTTGATTTTTGTCTACTGATCACATCCTTCTCGAAAAAGATTTATTTCCTTGGTTCTGGACACCATACTCCAATGATTTTGCTCTTACTTCTAGGTGTTACTATACTCTTTAAGAAGGCAATCTCTGAAGTTTTCTTAAGTATTGCTGCTACCCATCTTGTATATGCAATCTTTTCTTCCCTGTTCCCTCGGCTTGCCCCTATATTGTCAAATCCACTCCCAGAGAGTTATCTTTTTATCTCCCCCAAATCCAGTCTTATCATTCCTTTAATAGCCTGGAGGATGATTACAGATTTTACAAATTCAGAATTAGGCTAAAATAAATCAGTATTTGTCTTTTCTTTCTCAAAAACTAAACTAAACAAAATAAACAAACAACAAACAAAAACAACCTTGTATTTAGTCCATGTTTCTTGTTCCATGATAGAAACAATATTCACATTGTTGCCTGGAATAAACCTTTGAAGATTTTCTCTTGTGTTCCCATGAAATCATTTTTGAAACTACTCTTGCCCTTTCCTGCCTAAATACTGAGCAGCTACTCATCTCACAGAAACTATTTATGCAAGATTCTCCTAGTTCTCCAGGACTGGAGCTTCTTCTTTGCTGTCCCAAGTTAAAGGTCCCACAGCAGGTAGAGTTTTTCAAATCTGTGCTTTGTTTACTATCTGTGATGGTTTAAAGAGCATATCACCCATAAATTGAATACGCTTGAATACTTGAACCTCAGTTGGCGGAGCTGTTTGGGAAGGATTAGGATGTGTGGCCTTTTTCAGAGAGGTGTGTCACTTGGGGTGTGGTTTGAGGTTTTAAAAGCCCACAACATTCTCATTTAGCACTTTATTCCTTTTATTCACAGATGAAGATAGAAGTTTTCAGCTGCTCCTCCAGTGCCATGCTTACCTGCTTGCTGCTATGCTCTCTTGCATGATAGTTATATACTCCACTTCAACCCTCTACAACAGTAAGCCCCAAATAAAGTCTTGTTTGTATAGGTTGCCTTGACCATGGTGTTTTGTCACAGCAGTAGAAAGTAATTAGGATGCAATTCTTCAATTATTCCTCAGTAAAGAGTAAAGCATATATCTCCTAGACCTATATAGATGCTTCTGAATCTTTGTAATCTATCTCCCACAGAAAATTAGTAAATAACAACTGATTCCCCCCACATATAATTTGCCATAAAGTAGTAGAACAGAGCTAAAATAGCTTATTAGGTATTGCAGCCTAAAGATGGAGATAACCTAGAACGCCTGCACAGATGTAGTCCATGGCAGTTTAGTGTCCAAGTGGGTTACATAGTAATGGGAAAAGGGACTGTCTCTGACATAATCTGATTGGCCTGCTCTTTGATCACTTCCCCCTGAGGGGGCAGCAGCCTTACCAGGTCACAGAAGATGACAATGCAGCCACTCCTGATGAGATCTGATAGACTAAGATTAGAAGGAAGGAGAGGAGGACCTCCCCTATCAGTGCACTTGGGGAGGGGCATGGGTGAAGAAGAAGGTGGGAGGGTGGGATCAGGAGGGGAGAAGGGAGGGGCTTATGGGGGGATACAAAGTGAATAAAGTGTAATTAATAAAAAATTAAAAAAATTATCACCTTTTTTGATCACTGTTTACTTATTTTCTTTGAAATTTTTATGAATTCTAATTTTTTAGGTTATGACTGTTTTTATTTGTCAAAGGCAATATTTGTCATGCTTTTCTTAGACTTTGCAGTGTTCCCAAATCACACAAATTCATTAGTGTCTATCTACAGAGTCAGCAGTAAGCTTTGTATTTTCAAAACAGTATTTCCACAACCAGTGCTGTGGTAACTGGAATGACATAGATGATGAACAAACAAAAGAATCAATGCTATTGATTACATAAATTAAGTCCATTAATTGACTGTGAATAAGAAAATAAGACAGTCTTTGACGGCTGGCTTATCCTTAAAATGCATACGACAACAAAATGCCAAATAGAACTTAGAATTTCTTTTTATTCTTATTCTAATCTAATTCTTCTTCTTCTAATTCTTCTTCTTCTTATAATTCTTCTTCTTTCCCCCTCCCCAGTTCTACAAGGAGATTTATTTAAGGAAAGACAAGAGGAGAGGAGTAAAGGCCTGAGTGAGTCATGAGGGTGTACAGATACAAAAAGAGAAATAGAGAGACAGTGCAAGAACATAGGGGAGAGAGAGAGACAGAAGAGACAGAAAGAGAGCAGAAGAAGGAGGGCTCAGGGATTGAGGGTGGGTTGATGTAAGAGCTAGGCAATGTAGAAACAGGCTAGATTTTTTTTCAAGTGAAATGTACTGGTATTTCTGAAAATGAAAGTTGAAATAAATATATAATTTGACAATGAGGGTATTATCAGTCACAAGAGTCCAAGAGAAAGTTAGATTTTAACCATAAACTATATTTTAATTAGTAAAAACATTCATTAAAATCTGTCTTTAGGATAGTCAAGTAAAAGAAGAAAAATGTCCAAAAACTCTTCAAATTATTTTGAGAATGACTCATTTCTCTGGGATTTTCTCCAGAATTTATACCTGACACAGCACTGGTTCCAGTGGCTGTTGTGCATAAACTTAAGCCCTTTTAAGTCTTTCTAGCATTAATCAAAGTATAAAAACAGTTCATTAAATATTATTAAATCTTAGTAGCTTATTGTTTAAGAACTCAAGCCTATTCATAAAATGCACAGGTATTTAAAATAAAACGACTACATCTTAGAAAACAAAGTTTAGAAATGGCAATTTTTAATGCAGCAAAAGGTTGATTCTACTACATTAAAAAAGATTTGTTTGGTTTAGAAATGTGAGTTTGCAGGCCCCAGAAGCTCTCACCTGGCTGGATGTTCTCCCTTATGATGGTGACATGGTTGTCTCGGTCTGGGCGGGTGTGTTCATGCCAGAAGCCTATCACATGGCCCAGTTCGTGAACAACAATTCCAAACTTGTCACAGTTCTTCCCAATAGAAATGGCCTGAGGCCCATTTCCCCGCCGACCAACATAGGAGCAGCATCTATAAAAAACAGAGAGTAGAGAAAGGACTTGTGAAGAGAAGAGAGATGGCATGACAGCATGGAGCTCCCTGAAACATCAGTGATTAATTGTACAGTCCAACACATCCTGAGTCAGGACAGCCTTTCATTAGTGAGTTTTAAGTTCATGGATGATAAAAGTTTCCCAGTAATTAGGTTGGCAATCACGTTTATATTGGAAGGTAAGCTTTGCCACAAATTTACAAGTATTCAGAAGTTAGATGAGAGACAAGTATAATAATGAAGACATATAACGTGCTATTGAAAGTATATTCAGCCCTCAATATACCTATAATCACAACATTGCCAGTGTGGTTATGTACCAATAATCCAAGGCTACTTTTCTTTTAAGTTAAATTCTGCTTTTATCTTTTGGAGAAAAAGAAAAATATGTATATGTTTTTGTACATATTTGATTTTTTCATCCAAAATACAAGTTCTGTGTGTGTAGTTATGCATATAATACATGCACATGTGTGTGGGTGTGTGACAGAGAGTCCTGTATATACTCACAGGAACAAATTGATTGGATGATCAAAATACGAATTAATCTTCTTTACCAAAGGAATAACTTTAAAAAAAAAAAAAAGAAAAGAAAAAACTGTTTTTAATAGTTAATTGAGGGAATTGGGACATAGCTCAGGAGTTAAATACCTGACACTTCATGTGTAAGGACCAGAGGTCAGTTCCTCAGAATCCACGGAAATGTCAGATGGGCCTGGAAGCTCTTATAACCTTAGCCACTCAAGGCATAACACAGGGTAATCCCCAGAGCAAGCTGGGTAGAGATACAGATTTACCATATGGGCCTAGCTATGGTTTATTGAAAGACAATGCCTCAATAATAAGATGGAAATGCCATTGAACACAACTCCCAACATCAACCTAGGCCTCCAGATGCAAGCACACACACACACAAACCAAGCAGAAAAAAAAATGTTAATTGAAAGGATCAGATAAGATAGCTGAAAGAGTAAAGGAGCTTTTCTCCAATGCTAAACATGTATATTTGATTCCCAATACTCGTGTGATAGGAAAAACAAGGGCCCACTTTAGGAAGTTGTTCTTTGATCTCCACATGCATGCTATGGCATGAATACCTATACAAATTAACGCATATATGCATATACAAATTAACAAGTGTAATAATATTATTAAAGCTGTGAAGATGAATTACCTACAGTAAGTAGTTAGTTTGGAGAAAGAGGCTCAATATCAATATCTCTCCAAAATTCATATGTCAAAGTATAACCCCTGATGAATGAGACCTTGTTTAAAGTGGGGCTTTAAAAGAAAATTGGTCATGAGTACAGATTTCTCATTAATAAATTCAGAGACCTGATGAAGGAAGCCATAGAAAGCTGCCTTCAACCTTTCCAGCATGTAAAAACACAGCATGAGCATATTCGTTTAACATCCAAGGAGTATCCTCAGCAGATACAGAACCCACAGAATTCACAGGGTATAAGATCCCCTGGCTATGGTGCTCAGTGGCAGAGCGCTGTGTGGACTGTGACAGTTCATGAAGAAGAGTCACCGATTGGTAGCTGTTGCAAACACTTATGCCATTAGACTTTTATGAAGTGTTACTTAATAGTAGAATGCAATATTTTTTTACACCTACTCAAGGAGGCCTCTTGATAGTCAAAGAGAAGTGCTGAGCACTCAAGAACAACTTACAGCACATTTTTATACATTTATTAACACTTGTACATATTTTATTTTTTTCATCCAAAATACAAGTTCTGTGTGTGTAGTTATGTATGTAATACATGCACATGTGTGTGGGTGTGTGACAGAGAGTCCTGTATATACTCACAGGAACAAACATACACACACTCACCAGATATCTACTTTACAGTAAGTTTTAAGTAAGTGTAGTCATAAGTGCAAATACATTCCATCTGAATCACTAAAAATTCCGGTTTACAAGTAAATATTCTTTTAAACTATTCTGAGAGACATCAATAGACAGCATCAAATAGTTGATCTTGAAGGTAGGAATCATAGGGCATTAGACACTGTCAAAAGCCTCATTTTGATTTATTAATTAATTAAATTTTAAATGCAGTAGATTTATTGCTCAAATAATGAGAAGGGATTTCATTCCCTCAATATCACTCTTGTCAATTTGATTGTCTTTCTAATGTCCCACAAATATAAATTCTCTTGTTGCTCCCTTGTTCTTCCCAAGTTAAAGTTGCAAGCTTCAAATATCTGTACATTTTTAACTCATACTATGACAATTTGAGGTATTAATACTCATTTTTTTGAGTGCTATGCCAACTAATTAATGCTAATACATCAGTAATAAAAGTATTAGAAAAGAGGTGGGGGAGGAGTGATAAATTAATGTGTTCTCTCTTGTATACCTGTATGTATTTTATAAATAATATATACAGCTCAAAACACTGCATACTAAAATGTAATTGCTCACATATTAAAAAAATATTTATTTAGAAAAAGGGATTTTTTTTGCAAACTTTGGAGATTCAAACTAAAGTATTTGCTATTTTAAGGCAACAGTAAAGAAACAGAAATATCTGGTGATTATACGGCATTTAAAACACCACATTGAGTCATTCTAGCAGGATATATTCAGAGAACACAGCACTTTGCAAAAGGAATTCCGAGGGATAGAAAGGCTGCCTATTTATTTAATCCTAAAACACCTTTTTGGCATAATTGAACCCAGAGCAATTCCCCATAATAAGATGGCTTTCAGAGGGGAAAGGAAAAATAGATTTCATAGTGCCTATTTCATAGAGCTATTATTTTCAATGGCCCACGGAAATTAAAAAATTAGTACTTTGATCCTTGCCTGACTAAAGGTCTTAGAAACAGTAGAATTCTAGACATTATTGTTTATTAAATATATGCTTATAAAAATATCAGGCATATGTTGACGTAGTAACATGCAATTCAAAAATACATGGCTTAATCAAAACACTCTCTTAGCTTCTGGCGAAATCCTGGTGGATGCTATTTTCTTTTATTTGGATCTTGCCATTTCATATCTAATATATTTGTCATTTTTTACAGCATGACACCTCAAAGGTCAATCTGCCCTCTAAGAATAAAACCTATTTACACACATAGGAAAGTTTTATTTCACCTTAAATTACAGAAAGCAATGCAAATCTCCTGTTTCTGACTTTCATTTAAGGTTTACAGACCAAAACTCCATAAATGTTTTCTTTAGGTTGATACATAACTTAGGATTGCTTTTAGCTTTTTGTGATTCCTTTTTAAATTTCTTCCAAGTACTTTCTTTACTCTATGATCTTCACGAAAATGATACAATTCTTTTGCTCTTTCTATATTTAAAAAGTCTCAGACCCCAGAATTTCAAGTGTTCCATTAGCCTGGAGATACATGAGGGCGAGGGTCTCCGTGACCCCTACTCACTGACATAACACGAGCATCCAAGGCAATGAGCTCGTGGCAGATAACTGTGTACTGAGGAGCTCTCCTAACTATCTACCCATCTTCATAAGCTTCTCTACAAACAGTATCTCACTGACTACCTTTCCAGTTTCATTCTCAATAAAGGGAGTACTAAATAAATCAATCATCATCACTCCCCCGACACACACACAAATGAACTCATCCTGGTGAAATTAATGGCAACTTTAATCTTCCTTTGACTTTTCCAGTTCAAGTACCACCAGTAATCCCAAAGTCTCCTTTCTCCCCTGTAGTTACTCCTGTTGGCTATATCTTTAATCTATGTTCAGAATCCATCCACCTTCCACAGACTGCAGTGCGACTGCCCTTTTCTAAGCTGTCACTTCTCATGTGGAGTGTTGAAATTATCCACCTTTTTTTTTTTCCTTTTCTTTCTTACCTCTATATCACAGTGTGTTTCTTAACATCATGATAGTTTTTGGAGTGTCAAGTAAGATTATACCATTATTCAGCAATTCTGTGGTAAATTGTGCCAGTGCTCAATTTCCTCATTCCCCATCTCTAGCTGGTGATTACATGCCCCTGTTCCACTAATGCAGGGTTTGGTTACACGGTTTGCTCTGGACAATATCACGGAAGCCCAAACTGTCATTTCTACAGAAAGCACTGACGAGCCAGCACATGGCTGACCATGTGGTTGTCATTTGGTCTGTGATAAGAGGAGCTATGACCAGAGGGAGGCATCTCTCATGAGACTGTACATAGGACTTAGATGGCCATGTGACAGTTAGACAAATTGTTGGTCTAAGCAACTGAGAGAGAGGGATCATTTGTTTTGATAGCATGAATTCACTGACTAAATCTGGCTGTCTGAAATCCTTCTAAATAATCTTATAAATATTAGCACACAGAGCTCGTGTCTCTTACCACTATACATGTTATCACTTCATTCTCTCCATTCTTGCTCCTGATTTGCCTTGAACTCATGCCTCATTGTCTTTCTCTATCACAACAGAAATTACAACATTCAAAGTACCCCTTTTCTATACCTTTTTCAAGTCTTTGCCAAATGTGACCTTTAATCTTCTCTTTTACCTTTCCTTTAAGAATGTGTGGGGGGGGGGAGGAGTTGTTTTTTTACTTTTTTTTTCTTTTGCTTTGTTGATTCTTTATTGTGGGTATGTACTTTGTTGGCAAGCTCTTTAATTTTCTGTTCATGTAAAATCCAGCGAGTGTTGTTTTTTATTTAGAGAAATCCATTGCATTTCCTGGTTATATTAATACAGATTCTATGAGGAAGATGACATTTTTCCTCTTCTTTCTTATAAGGTTTACCACCCAAACTAACAAAGACTAAATAGATGAAAAGGCACACAACAGTGAGTGTGCCAAAGGAGGAGAGCAGAGTGTTTTCTCAACTGCTTCACCTCATACACAAACCACAAAAGTTTTTTTTTTTCCCATGGAGAATGGAGAATTAAGACTTTTTTATTAATTACACTTCATTCACTTTGTATCCCCCATAAGCCCCTCCCTCTTCCCTTCCTTATCCCCCCTCCCTCCCCCTTCTGTT